AGGTATTAATACCGCCATTTTACAGGTGGGGAAACTGAGGAACAGAGCAGTTGAGTGAGGAATACTGAAACCTGGGAATGTGCTGAGCCCCTCCGAAAAGCAGCTACCCAGCAAACCAGCACCAGAGCCTAGAACTGCGTCTAGAAGGTCCACCTGTCAGACACACACACACATACCCCGTCGTGCCCGCACCAATAAGCAAGCTGCTTCCCTCACAGCTACACACGCCAGAGAAGATACTGACTGACTCATTCCCAGAAATGTTCATTGCTCAGGTGCCGGACCACTATGGATTGATAACCACTATGTGTCATTGCAAATTCGCTGCTACTAGAACCCCAGTACATTCACTCAGAAACAATTACACAAAAACCGATACCTATTTCAAAGAGGCACTGTAGCCCTATCCTTTTCCATCAGCAACCTGTTTATCAGCATGTCACCTACGCACCATGAGCCTTGATATGAGAGCCAGTGTCAGTGATTTGCAGCTGTGCATGTGAATCAGATAGGAAAAAAACTCCACCCCAATCAAATCTCACAGAGGCTGGTTTTACCTTCTTTGTGCTTTATTTTAAAACTAAAGCATGGAAACTCAAATCCCACCCAAAACATTACAGTAATGTTGGCTGCACGGTCTAGTCTAGCCTGAGAAAAGCAAAAAATTATGATAATACTAAATTGCACCCCGGACAACATTCTGGGTTTGGATAATTTATAAAATGATTTTTAAAATATCACAAAGGTGACCAGTTTTATAATAGTTGAAATACAAGGCAAGACCATCATATAATGGAAATATACTGAAATCAAGTCAATACAAAGAAACACTTTCTATTGAACTCTCTGCTCAAATATAACATTGAGTCAATTGTTCCAGTGAGTCAAATATTAAATTATGTCAAATTCTGTTCAGGGGGTTTCCTATCTACACCCCTAGCACTTTTGCTGGTAGGAAAAATTGTGCCCAGAATAATAAATACAAGACCGTGACATGTCTCCTTTCTGTCAACTTTGTAAAAGTTTTCTTATATTTATTCTCCAGCTGCTTACCAAGGGCTACCTGCCCACCCCACATGCATGGTTGTGACTCCCACTGAAGTCATGGGAGTTGTACCTGTTGAACTGGGGTACCTGATTTAGTGTCGAACACACTACTGTGCGTGTGTATAAACTGGGATTACATAGACAGCCCCCTTTGTGCCCTGGTAAAATGCAATTATACCTGTGCACTAATAACGAAATGACTGGCATGCTGCAACCTATTGGCAGGATGGAAATAAACCACCCACAAACCTTCGCTGACATCCTGCATTTCTACAACGTGTTTCTATTGTAAAGCGGTACGCAGTGGTGGTGTAGCCGGGTAGGTCCCAGGATATTAGAGACAAGAAGGGCGAGGTAACAGCTTCTGAAGTTGATCCAATAAAAAAAATAGGACTTCACCCACCTTGTCTCTCTCTTGTAAAGCAGCACATGGGATTTTAGGATTTGACAGATGTTCTACATTAGAGCCCTCTGAGCTCCAGTTGTCTATTAGTCACATCCATCAAAAGCACATTGTTTTAGATCTAGGAAACTGCTACGTTAAGAGAGAAGGTCTGGATCTGTGTTCAGCTTGAGGTCATTATCAGTCCCAAATTAAACAGCTGGCAACGTTCTGTAGCAACCACAACACAGCATTCTGCGGTGTAAACACCAGTAGCTACATGCCCAAACGAGAAACGGTAATGCTGGGACACTGCAATCCAATGCAAAGCACACTGATCGAATCCCTTGAGCCAGAATGCACGAGTCACCCGCTGCTCAATGTGTGTCGTGCATCCTTCTCTCTGCCCCATCCACACGGCTTGTCAGTCTGTTACAGGGCTTCTCGAGACACACTGTTTCTTTAGCCCAAGTTGCAGAGACTCATGCTCTTACCTCTGGAGGTCACTGATTAATCCTTGGTGTTGGCCATGATAACAGCACTCACAT